TTTCATGGGTCCTAAATACAACGGTGAAGGCTATCCCATAAGGTTAGAAGATAATTGGATGAACTTTGTTGAGCTTGATATGTTCGTTCGCAAATTGAATGTTGGACAAAACACCATCGAGCGAAGCTCAACCGACTTCATATTCTACCAAGAAGATTCAGTTTCAATTACAAAACTCCACGAGCTTCTTGACCAAGGAAAAGTTCCTGCTCACATGTCTACTGAAGTAGATTTTATGCCCTCAAGACTGATGCTACCTAAGGGAACAGAAGGAGGATTCCCTTACCAGTTCTTCGTGATGGTTTATCCCTACCATGGTGTGGAAAATGTAACCGAGCCAATTGTCAACTTTATTGTTGACAACAAACCGTTTGGTTATCCATTCGACCGCCCAGTAAACGAGGTTTATTTCGTGCAACCAAACATGTACTTTAAGGATGTATTTGTGTACCACGAAAATGACATTTACCCATTCCAGTACTCTTTTCCCTACTATGTAGGGCACAGAACTCCATTCACTAAGTACTAAAGGAGAGAGAAGAAGCTTTTTGAACTATAAAAGTGAAATATTGAATAAATGTAAATTTCTTATTTAATTTTCTTCTTCTATTTATTAATTTCACTTAATTACATTTATTGAGTATACACAAATAACTTTTAGATGTTTAGTGTTTTGCAGAATTTGTACTAATGATCATTTATCAATTTATATAAAATTCAAAATACTTAACAGGAACTCACTTCTATTTAGTACAAAATAATGGCAATAATAATATTTCGAGCAAAGGAACAAAAACACAATTTAACGCTTAACCATTATTACTTTATTTGTAAGTAAGGTGTTCGCGTATAACCTGAAGTTACTTTCTTTAGGTGGGACTGCGCTAGAGGAGCCGATCATTGAGCCAGTTTACTCGCGGTGTTAAGTGTGGATATACAACCAACGAGCCTACAACATACAAATCGATGCAGGAAATCACTTTGTGTTCGTCAAAAAACCGACAGTAGGCGGAGCACAGTCGAGTACGAACCAAATGCTCGAAGCGCGGTCGTTCGGGCCTTGTAAGTCGGTCCACACTACACGAATTTGTGCTTGGCTCATGCTCCGATCGTGCTCGGCTCTTCTAGCGTAGACCCACTTCGACTTAAAAATATATAATAAATAAGGCGAAACTACCGATCCCGCATATGCTTCTGACTTCGGTATAGTCCATGAAAATGACTACTACGTTTAATTACACTATCTATTCCAGCTACCGGTCTTATGGTGATGAGGAATATAAGTTACTCGTATCTTACTTCACTGAAGATATTGACTTAAACTCATACAACTACTACTTCCACTCTTATTTCTCATTCTGGATGCAGGGAGACATCTTCCCAGTGTGGAAAGAACGTCGAGGGAAAGTTTATTTCCAATTTTACTAACAGTTGCTCGCCAGTTACTACTTAGAAAGCCTTAACCAATTAAATCTAGCTATCTTCCTTTCCTATTTAATTATAATACTTTCATTAAATGACCTTATTACCAAATACCTTATGAAAGCAATGTTTAAAAGTTGCAGTTCCATGACACCTATGAAAAACTTTCTTGAAATATCTTGAGAGAGGCTTCTCTAAGGCTATATGTGTTTTATTTCATTTGTATTAATAATGACTTGTTATAGTTGCAAAAGTTTAAATTAATATATATAACGGTGTCCATAAGTTAGACGTTAGCGTGTACATTTTTTTTAATATTTGACAAGCTATACTTTATTCTTAGGTAATATGATTACATATTTGCAGATATCCGCGTTATTTTTGTATTAGTAACTTAAAATAGCATAGCTGTTCGTCTTAGTTTCAAATAAAGCTAAAATATAAAAAAAAATTAAATTAGGATAATTTTTTTGCAGATTTAGAAAATTTTAACTTATAATCAAATTTCCCTCGTCATGGTTTAAAAAATGTATCAACACTACCATGGCAACTTATTATAAAAGTTAGCACAACTAATTAGGATTCTAAAATGTTGTGTCAAATAATTGTGTTTGGTTCTTGTACAAATAAAATTAATATTTATTTCATGCTTAGTGTAACTAGAGTATTATATTATACCATTTAAGAATCTAGATTAGTAACGGTAACTTTTATAAAAAAACTTCACATAGTAGTATTGATAAATTTTTAAAACCGTGAAGAATAAAGTTCCATTAAAAGTTACCTTTCCTTTGGGTATATCTGACAACTGTATGGTGAAATCTGTATCGTCATATTAGCCACCTGATTACGAACCCAAAGTTGTTTGATGAATATGGCTAGGGATGAGATGCGATATTTTTTGCATCTTATCCTTGGCGGGAGGTCTGTTTCTCTTCTGCGGATCCATCCAGCTGCGCGGATGCGATAACCAAGATGCGTCAAGCTATGAAGTATTTTATCTCCTTTTTGAAGCTCCCATTGGTAGAATAGCTCGCCCATGGCTTAACGCCGAATGCGCTTAAGTTGAAAAGCATAAGCATTTAGCGTATCTAGTTGCTTTGACGCTTGAAACTGCAAAGATCCGGATATAAGCCCCAAGAAGAGAGCTTTCATTCAGGCCGCCAAGTCCTACAAAAAAGCGTTACTGAAAGCCAGTCACGATCGCATTAAACATATTGGCGCAAAACTCTCTCCCAGACTAGAGCTTTTGGTCTCTTTCCAATTCCTGTCGGTCTACACTGCCTCCGCTGGTATAACCGGATGGCACACTAGCGCATACGGCTATAGAGAGACGCGAACTTGTTCGCCTCTCTCTTCGTCTGCAATTCGCGTTTGGATAGTAGTAACAAAGTTCCACATGAATTAGCTCACTGCAGGACCTCTATGTCGGAGGTTCGTATCACAAGTAAGGAGGTTCTTAAAACCTTGCGGTGTCAAGACGTGAAAAAAGCTAGTGGATCAGATGGTAAACCAGCTATAGTTCTTAAGGCTTGTGCACAAGAATTGTCTTCTGTGCTGACACGCTTGTTCTGCCTCTCATGTAGGACTGGAATAGTGAACAATATCTGGGAGCTGGTCAACGTACAGCCTGTCCCAAAATAGGGCGGCCGTGCTGATCCTGCCTTGTCAGCTAATCTCAATTACTTGCATACCCTGCAAGATTATGAAGCGTGTAACAGTATGACATCCTCAGTGACCGCCAGAACGAGTTTCGCCGAAATCGGTCAGTTGGGGACCTTCTTGCGTATACTATCTACGTATGGGGCGAGACACTCAAGAACAGATGCACTAGCTGTTTCCTTTAATGTCCGAAGGCTTTTGACAGAGTTTGGTACGCTTGTCTTTTGGGTAAGCTTCCAGCGTACGGATTATCTCCCGGTATGATTTACTATGTATAGGACTATCTGAGTAAACTAAGAATCTGAAATCTAAGAAGACGGACAATATATCTAACATTTTCATCCCTTTGTATGGTTTATTGATTTGACTTTGTTGAGTTGCATGTATTCTCTGAGGCTTCACAAGCCTCACTTAGTTCTATGGTTTATATGATGCTTACAGATAATCATGTGGAAGAGTACATTTGGTAACTGCTAAAACTAGAGTTGCGTCAATAGAAACGTAACCTAATCTAAACCTATTCCTCAAATGAAGTTTTGCGTTGCACTTTTGGCAACTCAATTAATTCATGAAGTATCCCAAATTTTAAACATAGTCCAAAACAAATTTATACTCATGGTCTGATTCCATAGTAGTTTCAGCATGGCTTCATGGCGAGCCTGATCAATGGACGACATTCGTCAGCAATAGATTTTCCGAAATATTAACTATGCTCAATCGAAATCAACGGAATCAGGTCAACATAAACCACATCCCTGCCAATTGTGCTTTCAGGGGTAGTACGACTGAAGAATTAAAGGGGAATAAGTTATGGTGGCATAGACTGGAGTGATTAAGTGAAACAGAGTGATACGGGGCAATTGATATAACACAATCCGTAACTTTTTGTTATGAAAGATGCTGAAATGAATAAAAGGAATCTTGGCAAATATAATCTCAAAAGAGATTAATAAAGTTCTGGAAATACGTGTAAGAGAAACGATGCGAGCTAAACTAAGAATGGTCTAGTCAAACGGTGTAATAGGTTGTGTTTTTTGCCTAAGAGGGATGATTATAGTAGTAAATGATCTAAATTGTTTACTATTATAATCATCTCTCTTAGGCAAAAAAAGAAAAAAGCAGAAAAAAGCAAAATTTGTCTAGTGTATCCGTTCTGCTCACTTATATTTATCTTTTGAATTTTATTCAAAGGTTTGCTTATATTGTTATATCATGGGGGGTGGTATTTTATCATTATACACTTGATTGTAGTTAATTAATTTTTATAGTAATTTATTGATTAAAAAGCACAAGTTCTTTGGTGGACGGAATGTCAAAAATATAAAATTATTTCTGTCCATGTTGATAACCTGTTATCATAGTTCCGCAAAAATGTCAGTTTTCTAGTATGTTTCAGTGAATTTTTGTTTCTGTTAACGAACTAGACTGCGCGCCCATTACTTAAATTCACGATATGCTTTGTTTATTATTGAAAAGTGAAGTAATGTCGACAATGTAAATAAAATATGTTAATTGACAGCAAGTAAGCTGTTTTATTTATTCCTAAACAGTGTATTTGTGTAGTGTAGAGTTAGACAATTCCTATGTTTGTTAGGAAGGATGATTAAACTGTAGATAAAGTTTTTAACGCTTGCCAATTTTGTTTCATGATTTCCAGTTAGGTTTATTTTATCCAAAAGCGCAACGAGTTTTCTCTTCAATTGTTTGTTTTTGTTTATTCGTAAGAATCATGAGGCAAGTAATAGGAACCCATAAAATGTTTCTTTGTAAATAATATTTGGCTTTGCCTTTGTTATCTATCCGACGAAGTAAAAGTTCCGACGAAAAAAAAGACGCTCTAAAGATAACAATTTTATGTAATCTCTGAGTTTAAATTATATTTAACTTAACATAAATCATATTTATCAACAGGAAATTTAATTTAGATGTTTGGAAAAATAACCATTCTCACCAACTTCTATCCTCTTCTTATGAAATACGGATATGTTATAAAAACGGTAGTTGTTTGCAAATGGCTTAAATTTAGTTGCTTCTCTATGAAATGGAAATCCCAGAGGCTTTTTATCTGATACTTCTGAAAGATACTTTTGATAATTATTCGAATAATCAACAGGCATATCTCTTTGCAACAAGTCCTCCATGGGGGTAATTATGACAAAAAGTGTTAGATTCAGACCTTCTTCTGTACCCCTAGGGATAATCATACTTACGGGAAAGTTGAATAAGTTATATCTGTTAACTTGGTTAAACTGCTCTTCCATATTATAAAAGTTTTCAAACGAAAACTTAGATAAACGCTCCGATGGAGACCATGTAATGTTGTTTATTCCATTATGAAGCTTGTAGTGGAAAGAATCGAGTTCGAAGAAATTAGAGAATGAAATCCAGCAGTTTTCAATATGACATTCAGGTCCTAGGAATAGCCTTACTATAACTGGTTTCTCAGATTTTGATTCTATTATAAAATTAATTGCAAAGGCAACGTGGTTTAGTCTTTTGAGTCTCGCTGTTATAGCGTATGGTAATTTCGTTAGGTTGATACCTAAACCTTTATTTAATATAAATTGAAAGTAAGAAAAGTAAGTTGTTATTTTTGGAATATCTGTCTTGACTATTTTAATTTCATTATCTTCATACTTTGATATATCGAACGGTTCTAAGTTCTTTTCGAATTCATTGAAATAATTTAAAAATATTTTTATCAAGTACCAATAAACAGGATCTCGTAAAGATGTTTCTGGGTGATGTAACACTGACGGCGCAGGATTGTAACTGAAACATAAAAATTAACAATCATATTTTTTTTTCATTTTATATTAATTTACTAGGTAGAAATACTCTGTTTTAGATTTCGTCTGAGTATGTTCTATCCTTTTATGTCTCTAATTATTAATGCATGTACGGCGTTAATACATCTATCTACATATACATATACAATACATCTATCTATGTATAGACTAAGAGCAATTGAATGCCAGACCTTCCTTATTTTATAACAGCTGAAAGTTGCCCAGCGCATACTCCTTATATAGGCAGGAACAATACACTAATATAAGGTTTGGATCATCGTGAATTTCGGAATAATATTAGAAATCACGTCATCCGTTACCAGATAATTAGCATCGTGGCAACCCCTTACCAGAGACCCTTAAACTTTAATACATTGTAACTATACTTACGTTACATATAGTATAAAAGCCGAATTTTATATATGCTACTTGGGTAACTATTAGAAGATGTTTACTCAGTAGCCAGATAGTTTCGATAGTTCTAACACCTGGCCAGACAAACATACTATAGGATAGCTGAGAGAGCGGGCGCGAGGCTATATACGTACATGGAACAGTTATTTGGATTCATGAGATAATGTTAATATGTTTATTACTAAAAAAAATTAAAAATTATTTGACTATGATTTCATTTTGATAATTTAGTAAAATATAATCCTAATAAATTTGTAAATGGTTGTTTGTTTTATTTTTAAAATTCAATTTAATACGAAATCTATAACGTGAAAAAATCTATACTAAAAATCTATACGTGGTATTAATATTATGCCTTGCTGCAGTTATGTAAGTAATATAATTTATACATATTACAATAGGATGACTTGTTTCCACTAAAAAATGGTCTCCGAATCTCTATACTCACCTTACGAAATACAGCAGTATTAAGCTGCTATTTTTCGCTGGTATTCTGTGAGAGCGTGGTCCTTCCCCGGTCGAGCCGACCCATTTGTGCTACAATCATAGTATAGCTGCAGCGTAGCTCTACCACATATACTCACTTAGTAAAATAATGTCTTTATTTTTGAACACGTAAGTATTATTCGAAGTCTAAAATTAATTGACATTTTTTCAGTCTCTTCAAAAAATAATATTATTTTTATTTATTTTATTCTTTATTGCATCATCATATTGTACAAAAGGTGAGCTTATTGCTATATGGCATTCTCTACCATCTAATCTTGCAACCATATATCATACAACACATTCATATTCACATACACATACACATACATATCATTCATATGTATATCTACAAATATACACATATAGATTAAATACATATGATTCACACAAATATATAATGTATATATAAATCACATATATCTCAATAAATGTATATATAAATAACTAAACATACTAAAGTGCTGTAATAAACATAGAAAGTAAGTTGACTCAGCTTTGTAGGTTACCTCTTTGTAGGCTACTATGTTCGTATATATTCTTTGAAATACATTTTTGGCAGGCATTAAAAATCTCAACCTTTAGACTGAAGACCCCGCTTTTGACACTACAACGGAATAAAGAATAGAACACCTATATTAAAGAATAAATAAATATGAATTATCTTATTATACCTATCTTAAATACGGTATAATAGGAAGATTTTTAAGTCATATTAAAAACTTCACTATCAAATATTTCCCTTCGTCAGCTATTACAACATCCGTAAAACGAGATTGGGTGACATTCACTTACATAATCATACGGCTACTCAGATTATTTGCATATCTCTACGTTTGTGTGATTTCTTACTTGTTCTTACCTGTTTAGTGGATAAGTGTTACCTCCATACCCAAAAAAGGATCTAACGAATTTTGCTGATTTGATTCCGTCTAAATTTGCACGCAGAATTTTTGCCAATAAGTCAACATAATTATCTTCAGTCAGTGGTATTTTTGTACCGTTGTCCTAAAAATAATATGGAATATTATGTCAATATAAGAGGATTAGTTAATTAATAAGTTTAGATTCAGTATCTGAAAAGTAAGTGTAGTGTTATTCCTTCTATATATTTTTATTACTAAGGTTTGGAAAATCAGGTAGGAATACAGCACTAAAATATTATCTAATCATCCTAGTGCTAGTAGCCTAGTAGTAGATCCATCTATTTTGGATGTTTTCTATAAGCATTTCGTAAAAAGCCAGCTTTCAGATTAGGTAAGTTTGAACTGCATTTTTTTCATACGTATTACTTTCACTACTTCGTACCATTTGGCATAGGTTATTGAATTTCAGTCAAAAATAAAATGTCGTACTAAATTTCTTGTTATAAAATGGTTCTAGACTATTTTTGAACATATACAGTTTTTTTTAACATGAAAGCAAACGAGCATGCTGCTGATCTGATGGTAAGTTACTACCGCCGATAACTTACTATAAGGGTAATTGCAGATGCGTTGCTGGCCTTTTAAAAAGAGTAGGCTCTTTTCTTAAAGGTCCTTAAGTCGTATCGATCCAGAAAAAGCTGGTCGTAGTGGATTCTACAAGGAAGTTGTGCGAGAAATATAGAACTTCTTGTAAATCGCACAGAGGTAGACAGCCAATCATCCAGATGGCATGGATGGTATCGCGAGTTTTGTGGCGATGTGCGATGTGGTAAAATTGAGTGACTGGAATTAGTCCGAGAAATTCCTGCTCCCGATAAAAAAAAACTCGATCGCCAACGATTCGAACCACCCTACGCTGGAAGCGATCAATTGGAAGGAGTTGGCATTGCGGTACCCCAATGCTCAGAGATGACAACAGTATTCCACGTGAAGCCGAACTAGCAGTTTATAAACTTTCAATCGGTGTGCCAGCATGAAATATTGTCCGGCTCAATAAAGCACGCTTAGTTTTTAGAGGTCAATTTGGCCTTCCATTCCAAGTGACCGCAGAATTAAACGTCATTCGACATTCGTAGTTGTACCTTAATGCTCCTATCTGCATAACTGAGAAGTGAAATATTTTATCGAAAACATTTCAAATAGACTGCAGTTGATACTAATGTATTTTTATAAATGCTACCAGAATTCAGATTAAGAAAAAATATAATCTTTAAGCGGTTTCATTTTGCTACTTCATGACTTTTCATTATTCAAACTTTTTTCAACTTACCATAAAAATTACTTTTCTTGAGACGCACTCTTTAATTGCAATGTCAATTGATTTGATTTTCGCTTGTTCTTCATTCCATTCTTTTAGCGTTGATGATCTTATCGGAAACGGAAGACCATTGTCATAATATAGATATGGATTATAGTCAGTATAGCATTTTTCAATAGGTTTATTTTTTTCATATTTTAAATATAGTCTTTCCAAATTATACCGTGCCATTAATTGTTTATGAGTATAGTAGTAATATTCAGCATGTTGTGGGTTGATTTCTTCCATTTCATTGTTTGACATCCAAAAAGGGTGTAATAATTGGACTCCATAATAATAACTATTTATACCAATGTCTTCTCTAAAATAGTTAAGATCTTCGTGGCAACCATTACTTGGTAAATTCCAGCCCGAATAATTAGTGTTTATTGCAATTATGTCATTATGTTTATAAATTTGATTTACCCTGGACTCTTGGTCAGTAATTTGACCATTGTCAATAATAAGTTGTTGTGCTTTTTTTATTGTTTCACCGTTTATAAAATAATTAGGTTTTGCAATATATGGTGGTTCGTGATGAAAATCACTCTTAAACTCATTTCTATTTGCGTAAATAATAGCAAGTTGCTTTGCATACGCGAACAAGTCATCGTTTATATTGACCTTAGCCCATTCGGTAACTTTATGTAGTTGGTCGGCTTCTAGGCTTTGTAGTAAACGAAATAGAGCAACAGAAGCATCTCTTAGATTTTCATCATATATATTAAATGTTAATCCCTTTAAGGTAAAACCTTTGTCTACATAGAAAACAAATTTTTGATAAAATGGACAGTCCTGAAATTACTTGCAGTGATTTATAATAGAAAATATAAAGTTACAGCCTACAAACGGTGAAAAGTTCCTCTCATTTCTAAGTGGCTTGTTGAGCAATATAATGGCAGTGTTGTTGCAGCGAGTGTTAGCAAACTTAAAATATCCTACAAATTTTTTGTTCTTAAGGCATGCAGGTTTTCTTGCAACGTCGAAGAAGCCACTGACGTACACTTTGTAAATCAACACTTAAAATTGTAATTAACAGTTTTATTTATGAGGGCACTTTCTTACCCATATAAAGAACATATTTTGAAATAATAATATGCTTTTAAAAATGTGTACACCGTCTAATATCAGCAAAATGGAAGTTTTCTTCACATCATCCTGCTAGTGTCGCAAGAGGTGACTAAGGAAAACACAAAAGATAATTTATTATAATTATAATAATGTTTCTCTGATAGATAATGCTATAACCATTTTGTATATAATATATACTTAAAGTAAGATAAGCAGAAAGGGTAATTCCTGCCAGAAAAGCGTTTCTATTTGCCAGTTATCTCAAGTCCATTCCAAAGTAGCGAGATATTTGGTTTAAATTACAATATAGTCCTTACTATGTGGTCATGTCCAGCATGGAATCTTTGTAGGCTGTCTGTTCTGTTCGTTTTCACATTGTAGAAATTTAACAGATATGCATTACCACGTTTTTTAAATATATCATAAATGTGTACTTGAAATAATTTTAAAATGATAAATAGTTTGAAATTTGTTAATGCTTACCTCGTCCACTATTTCAGATAAATGAGTGCCGACATATTTAGATTTTTGAGAAGGATACCCCGATGGAACTATATGCATTAAAAACTTTTCGTCGTCAAACGCTAACTCTAAAAAACAATGATTTATTTCTTAGAAAATTAAAAAAATATCTTATATTTCTTCCATTATTACTTTAAATAAAAATTAATCCTTTTAGTAGCTTATTACTTGACATTTGAAAGGAACAAAATTCGTTTTACATTAAAATTGTATCCTTTAAGAAGAATATAAACATAACAGATATGGTTATTATATAGAATTGATGTGAGTATATTATTGTTATAATGGATCCCACCTCCCTGATTGATAAACTTTTTAAATTCGTCGGTTGGCAAAGCAACAATTGTAGCTATTAATTTTGACCACAAAAATATCACAATTGAAAAACGCAACAACATCATGAAGGTTCCCTGTTTCACTGATACTTATTAACTGAATATAATACAAGACTTGCAGTCACATATTTCTGTGTTCCTCTTGGTCCAATTGAGGTACAGAGATCGGTTTAATAAGAACAATTTTCTTCGTACAGCCAAGGGCAAAACTGTGAAAAGACTTATACCTTTTTAAATGTTATATTTTTGACTTTGATTTGAAAGGAGCAGATTACTTTTAAATTTTTGTCAAATATAATATGATTAATTTTACTTTTTGTTTTCTAACTCGTTCCAAAATATTTTTATTATTATATATAATTACGATTATCTTGTAATGGTTTGAATGCTATATAATATGTTTAAATGCTGTTAAGTTTAGATTGATTGAGTTTTTTGTTATTTTTATTTAAGGACTATAAACAGAAAAGACAATGTAGTCTATCCAGCGTTCCAGAAGAAGTACATAGCTTCTTAAACCCCTGAAGAAGTAAAAATATAATCTGCCGAGTTGCAATACTTTACAAATTATATAAAAAGGGAATATATATTCAAAAAACGATAAATTTTAATTAAAATAAGTGTTATATTTCGTAATCTTTACATTTCAAATAAATATGTGGTAAGACGGATGAGTTTGTTTTTTACTTTATATTGCGAACTATGGCTGTAAGAAAACGTAAAATTTCTTATTTTATTTTTTGACTATTTAGAGGATTCCAAATGTCCCATATAAGTAATATTATTTACATAAATTAATGAATAAAAAAATTAAATGAAGGCCATGAGAGAGATAATATCTAATATTAAGCCGAAAAAGTCAAAACCGTATTTGGTTTCCTTAAATTAAATTAGAAATATGAGAGCAAAATATATAGACTAACAATGCAACTAGCAGTACATCATAACGTAGAAGCAAAATGAAATTGGTCAATTTTCCAATTGTGATCCTTGCTACACGTCTAATTTTGTTTCGGAGGTAATTGGTCGTTTACAAGTGTAATGGTGTTATGACGCAGCAGATGATTAAACCATAAGATATATATAGGAAAATAATACAAATAAAATTCCGTATAAGATATTATATTTTATAGAATACTTTCAGAAATATTATATATATAATGCGTTATAAATATTAGCATATAATTGTGTACTAACAATGTTTCATGAGAATTATTCTATAAATAATGTCTTCGAACGCTTAAATAAATATCACAATGATTATTATTTTAGTTAAGTAACTACGGCCTACCCATAAATAGGCTAATCACCAAGTTTCTATTATGTGTTGTACAATCATGCTAATACCGCATTAGTTTTGTACTTAAACGAAGTCTTGCAACTCCTTAAAATAAATAATGTAAAATTTAATAATGTGTATATTCTAAATATAAAGAAGTTTAGTCGCCAGTCATCATCTCCATGAATTCTGCAACAAAAAGAGATATAAGTAAAAGTTAAAGTCACAGTAGCCTTTATAATGTTTTAAAGGTCAAGAATGCTACTTCATCGCATCAACACGTCTTTACTGCGGGAGACCTTATAAGAATAAGAGAAGGAAGCTCAGAATTCGACGATATTTTCTCAACAGTTAATTAAACCTTTTGTAAAGCATACATTTATTATTTAAAACAAGTTATAAAACGGAACTCACAGTCCACTTGGTGGTAAGTGGGTACTGCAGTCCATATACACCTGTAGCTAACTTCAATCAAAGAAGGCTGCAGAGGTCTCCTTTGAGGACCAAGATGTCTTACATCCTGTAATTTATACCGACTTCTAGGTACAATAGGGGTCCTACAATCTAGTGTGTGTAGTGCCATTTACAAGGTGTCCAGTAAATGTATATTAGGTGATAAATTGGGTGAATAACTAAAATTAAATTAAAGAAAATTTAGTATAACTTTAAATCCGTAAACTCATTGCCACGCATTCTTATCTTTTAAATATTACTTTATTTTATATGTTTACTTGCTACGGAGTCTTTTTACATGCATTTTGAATTTATGCAAAGAGTAACGTTACGGGTTATTCCGTTTATCCGCCCTAGTGTGGATACTCCTAAATGCGTGTTGTGTGTGCGTCTATCCACCCCGTCTAGGAATTCACTTTTATTTGATCTTCCGACTTTTTACTCCAAGTTCAGTTCAACAAATACACTTCAATTGAACTGATTACATTTCAATTGAATGACTAATTATTCATTTCTAATTATTATTTTTAATTGCGACAAACTTAATAAAAAACATATAGTGTTTTGCCATTACTGTTACAGTCTATTATAGTCCATGCTTACGTTTTGCATTTAAACCACATTAAACTTCTTTGCTTTAAATTATATTATTGCTTTATTTATAAATTCTGCGATATTTGCAACACTGATTTCTTTATTAAGTTTTTTATCCTAAATAAATTCGCCACTTTTAATGTACTTTTGCAATCGTTTTACATATTTCTTTGCAATCATAGCTATTATATGAATTAATATACAAGCATTGCAAAAACATTACTATTGAATGTTTATCTTTAAACTAATTTTAAATTATTTCATGAAAAGATTCCAATGAATCTAAAATCATGTGAGGTACTCCGTTTATTACAACGTTGACCTTTAGCACAAGAATTATGTATTTAATTTTTAGGTAATTTCTATTAAGTATCTTGAGGCAGTTTTTATCATGCTTCTATAAATGACTGTACACAGCCGAGGGAGAAAATCGGAAGAAAAATAATCTAGAAAATATATTTATTAATTATCCACTTAGGGTGGATTTTTAGGGTAGATAAACGGAATAACTCAATGTTACAGGCAAACTTGTTATTCATAATACCTACACATGAAGCAAGCGCTAGTTTAATGAAGCCAGTACTTTGAAACAGCAAGTTAGAATTAATTGCGCGTGTTTAAATTATCATATTATCAATATGATCGAAGGTGCTAAATGAAATTTAAATTGACAGCGCATTGTTGAGAGAATTTGACGTTAATAGTCAGGATTGCTGATAGATTGGCGATCACTGGAATAGTCGTATCGCATTTTTGATGCTGCTTCTCATGGCCAGTGCGGGTAATTTAATTTTAATGATCTTGCGAGAATTCAAACAAAAAAAATCCCATATTCGACTTTAATGATGTTTGATGATAATTTTATTTAGTCGACGCCACAAGACGTTATTTTAATGTAGCATATGAAATTTGGGGTAAAACTGGCAGGACGTGCAAAATTGATAAATATAGTTAACCTAAGATTGTGTTTTGTGTCAGTCCAGAGGAAACATATATTAAATTGTCTCTCCTGGGCTGTAATGGCGATGATAGTTCAATCCCTAATACTCCTATTTTAACAAAAATAATGTCCATAAGAAATTTAAATAAGCTGCTTTAGTATTATACAAAATTGACGCCTAATCATAATTATTAGGAAATCTTTTTTCAGTGATTATTTTATTACATAAATAACTGGCGTTTTCATCAGTGAATACAAATTAATATTTGAACTCTCGCATTGTAGGAAGGAGTTGCTTAAATCGCCGCAACTAATGGACTCTAATTGAACGATATACAAAGAGCAGTTTTCCATGTGGTCGTATTTCTTGCAAAATCCTGATGTGTGAAACGCGCAATATAAATCATGTCGACGTTTAAAAAATGTTACTTAAAACTTAAAAAAGGTAAACATAATCCTTATTGTAAAATTTAAGATGTAATAACATCAATCAAATTTAGAACTAAAAACCTTTACTAATGAGTGTTATAGTCATAGAACGTAATAAGTATACAAACTACAAGATTTATTTGAATAAGGCTGCTGTTGGTTTCTTCAGACATAAAAAATTTCACAAGAGACATTTTATTTAATTTATTTCTGTGATGGTACGAGTTTCTAGTTTCACGCCGCCGTAATACAAATCAGGTTGGCATTGATTGAAATAACTAAGAGGAAGTGATTTCTTATTTTATTAAATATGGTTAATTAGTTAATATATTTATAATTACCATCGAAGTCAACAGTTCCGGAGCCGTCAGTGTCAATCTCTGCAATGATGCCATCCAGGTCAGCGTTGCTAAGTTTGTCATCTAACGCCGCGAGGATCTCCTTAAGTGTGGAAGTGGTGATATAACCGTTGCCTTCACGGTCGTATAACCTAAAAACATTAAAAAATATACCCTTAGATGCTTTATTATAAAGTTAAATGTTTCCTTGACTTACTTAAAAATAAATATAAAATAAGCATAGATAGTTTTATTATACTTTTAATACGAAAAATCTTCAACTGAACTTGAACATACCTGAAAGCTTCTTTAAGTTCCTGTTGCATGGCTTCAGCATCTTCTTCTTCTAAGAAATGGGAGGCAATGTTGCAGAATCCATCGAAATTGATTTTTCCCAAACCTGTAAAATTAAAGAGAATACAATTGAGTTTAATGTAACGATCTAATATTATGTTAAAAATGCCAAAAGTTAATAAAACTATTACGTGGAACATAAATATTAGAAGACATAGGATATTCATCAATAAATTTTACAGTTTAAAAAATGTCTTACTATTAATAAACTTATATTAAATATTGAAAAACCAATAACGTTCAACTCTTCCTTGAATATTAAATTAACGGATAATACTCGTGTATTCAAAGAGTAAAAGAACGAAAAATTATTAGTTGTAAAGCAGTGTCACTTTTAATGTGTATATTGTAATGATAGTAGGGGAAATAATTTCAGGCTTTAATTACCTTCTGGATCGTTTTCGTCAATGAGAGCCTGGAGTTCAGCGTCGTCGAAAAGTTGACCCATTGTGTTCAAAATAGTGGAAATTTTGAGGCAATCGATGTAACCTGACTTTGTGGTATCAAACATCTGGAATGCCTTACGGAGCATGGCCATTTTTTGATCATCGTCAGTGTCCTGCAAAAGACAATATACAGATTGTTAAAAGTAATTTTTTTTCTATAGAACAAAGGTGACAAACGAGCACACAGTCCATCTGATGGTAAGTGGATGCTGTGGCCCATAGACATCTAC